GCCTCTCTGAGCCTGCTCTCCCTTTGTAAAATGTAACAATCGTACCTACCTCACAGGGTACATTAGTTTCTTTCCTCTCAGCCTACCACAGCCACTGAGAATCTGGGACAATATCTGTATTATATGTCAGAAAACAGATTCCTAGTGCTCAGAAATGACCAAGGAGACCTAACCCCCTCCCGGGCTGAAATTGTGCTGGGTGGGCATGTGTAGCTAGAGGCTGGTGGCCCCAAAAGCTTACAAGCCGCTGCCTTTAAAGGGTGATTTTGGAGAACAGGAGAGAGTGAGTAGGGTTTTCTTTAGTTTTATAAAAGTATAATGCACAAGTTCTAAGTATGCAGGTCAAGAAGCCAGACATTGCCAGTGCTCCCTGGAAGGCTCCCTCGTGGCTACTTTTCATCACATACTGTCAGCAGCTCTCTTGGGCTGGATACTTCTGGGATGTGGGGAGGAGCCTGTGTGCTCTCCTGCTTCTGGAAATTCTATCCCCAACTCTCATCCCAGCTAAAAGGGGGACTTTTGCCAGGGCAAACAAGGCCAGATGGAGGAGGCAACACGGCAGGGCGAGGCTGCACGGGTGTGGGCCCGGCATTTGGCCTCGGTCCTGCCCCGTATGTGGCAGGGGCTCAGTGGGACAGCTGGTAGCCTAGGTTTGAGTTCAGGTGTCGGCTCAGACTCAGGTATCCCAGGGTGACATCCCCTTTGTGATGTCAGCGCTCTGCTTACCACCCTCTCCGGCCCCTCCATACCCCACCAGTGGCCTTTCCTCCCAGTCCAGAGAGGCAGCCAAAGTGGGCGATGGGTTCCCACTGTGCCAAGCTCGGCACGGGCCACGGCCGGGGCCACGAATCCTCCATGAAGAAGCTCGTGGCCTGCATGAGTCAGGATAACGTCTCATTGTCGTCGGAGGGTGAGGAGGAGGGAGAGGCAGAGGGAGAGGTGGAGGAGCTCCCGGTGCAGGGCAAGCTGCTGCTGCTGGAGCCTGAGTGGCAGGAGGAAGGTGCCAAAGACGACTCTGTGGTCCAGAAGAACCCCAAGCCCAAGCAGACGCAGTCCTGACCCATGACGTGGCCCGGGAAGAGGTGCCGGTCGCTGTTCCAGAGAGAAGAACTTTCAGAAAAGAGTAAATAAAGAGTCTCCAAGGAATCCTCCTCCTGTCTGCTCTCCCCCCGCTGCCACACCCCGACCCTGTGCCCGTGGCACCGCGCGCGCACATGTGCGTGTGTGCAGGGAGGTTGAAGAGCAGGAGTCACTGACCCCCGTCCCTGAACTCCAGCCAGAAGCCCTCACAAGGTCCACTCCCTGTGACTTCTCAGCCGCCGTCCCGTGCTGCAGGGGGTGGAGAATGTGGTAGCCTGGGCTAGAAAGTCACCTCAGCCAGTCCCGTCTCCAGGGAAGATTCCTCCCTGAGTCTGAGCAGATGCAGGCTGAGAGCACCCGATGGGACAGTATCATCTCCCTCTGCAAACCCCCATTTTGCTGCTCTAACCATAAACGGTCTTAAAGAGCACAGACTTGGGAGGTCAGCAGACCTGCTTCCAATTTCTTTGCGCTCGCTGTGTGACACTGAGCAAGTCGCTGTCTGTCTCTGAACCTCAGCCTGCCCTCCCTGCCTAAGGGTGACGTTAATAGCTACCCACAGGTCAGCGGGTCGGGAGAAATGACTGAAACGCTGGGTGGGACCGGGCCTGGCACGCAGTGAGTGTTTCACCAAGACGGGCACTGCTGTTGGAGCCACGGTGGTTCCATCTGACTCGCAGGCCCCGGTTTTGGGGGCTGAGCAGGTTGGAGGGGTCTGAGTCCTTCTCAGCCACTGATTCTTCTGCCATCCCTACACTCAAGGTGACCATCTGTACCCTCATGAGAGGCTCACTTCTGCCTTGTTCAAGGGTTCCAGCTGTGTGGGCAGAGCCAATGCCCTCATTAGAACAATGGGCAAAGGAAGCCCAGAGAAGGGGCCAGACACAGATCTAAGACCCAGACCCTGGGTCCACTCACTCTGGCCTTCTTCTAGAAGCATCATAATGTGTCTGCTGCCCCTCCTGTCCCTGGGTCCCTTAACCTTTTTCTTTCCAATAGAAATAACAAATGTGATCTCCACCCTCTTCCCTCAATAGCCCCCAAGCACCAGCCATCTGAGCCCGAGAAGGATCCTGATCAGGGCTGCGGGGAGGGGTGGGGAGGCAGTATTTCCAGGGACGTCTCTATTTCTTTGGGGGCTGGGTGAGGGGTAAGGAGAGGCCTTGGGCTACTCAAAGAGGAGGCCACCACTGAGGCCTGCAGATGGCCCTCGGCACCTGAGGCTTGAAGGAGGTGGCCCTGCTGTCTGTGACCACCCACCCCCGTCCTGACCAAGCAAGTCGGTCGGCAGCTTTGTCCTTTTGTCCAAGGCCTACAGATCCACCCGCCCATTCATCTGCCCAGCAAATATTTGTTGGGGCCCTACTGTATGCCAGGCACTGTGCCAGTCATACAGTATGGGCCCTGGGATCAATAAACACAGTCTCTGTCCCACTACACACTCGAGGCTGGGGAAGTTGGCAGTCGGAGTGGAGGGGTGTGGGGAGTGGTGGAGAGGGTCCAGAGACCCAGACACAGTCTTCACCGCATGGCCCCCAACCAGCCCTACTGAGACCACACCAGGCAGGGCCGTTAGAACAGAGCCACACGTGCCTCCTTAATCCCCTCGGAGGCCTTAGTGACCACGAGGCTGGACTAGAGGGGACCAGGCCCGACTCTGAATCCTGGCTCCACCACTGACTAGCTGTGGGACCCTGGGCTGGTTACTCAGCCTCTCTGAGCCTGCTCTCCCTTTGTAAAATGTAACAATCGTACCT